AATATAGGGGAAATCAGTGGGGAAAGGGGATTTAGGGAGGGGGAGGGGAAATCGCAGAGCCTATGGAATTGAATCATGAAATTAAAAAAAAATTTTTTTTAAAGAATTTAGCAGTGAAGCCATCCAAAAAAAGTAGGGATAAACTAAATCTAAAATTAATAGAAGAAATGGAACATCTCAGAGCGGAAATAAATGAAGTAGAGTCTTAAATATGCAGGATCACTGAAGAGTTCACTTATTACCAAAATAAGCAAGCCTAATAAAGTCTGAACTAAAAAAAAAACCTAAATAAATAAATAAGACAACAGAAATTAGACTTTATATCTGACACACAAAAATACAAAAAATTATTCAGGACTGTTGTGAACAATTGTATGCCAACAGATTGGAAAGCTTAGAAAACATGGGTAAGTTCCTAGCCACATACAGTCTATCAAGATTGAACTTTGAGGAAACAGACCATCTGTACCAACAAATGCTGCAGAAAATTGCATCAGTAATAAAAAGTTTTCTATACAAAATATCCAGGAGCTGATGGCTTTACTGCTGAATTCCAACAAACACAGAAAGAACCAGTACTAACACTTTTCAGAACAAGGTGAGGGAAGGTTATGGTTCCTGTGATATCAAGACCATTCAAGGACATCAGGTCAATGTCCCTAACGTACATAAATGCAGAGTCACGACCAATATTAGCACATCGAATTTAAGAGCACACCAATCACCAGAATTGATCCCAGGAATGTATGGATAGTTAAACACATGCAAATCGAGACATAATATATCATATTGACATAATGAAGGACAGAGAGCACCTCTCCCCAGTTAGCATGGCCAATACCAAACAGACAGAAGACAGCAAGGGTCCACGTGGATACAGACAAAACGGAAGCTTTGTGCATTGCCAGTGAGAAGGTAACTTACTGTAATCAGAATGGAGATTCGTGGGGGGGGGGGGGAGGAACTGAGAGTAGAACTTCCATATGATTCAGCAATCCCACAGTGCATAGAAAGATCCCTGCATACCCATGTTTTTTGCTTAACTATTCACAATAGTTAAAACATGGAATCAATCGAAATGGCCAGCAATAGGTAAATGCATAAAGAAAATGGGAGATATAAATTGAAATATATGGACATGCAATTTAATTTCCATTTTAAAGAAAGAAGCACAGAACAAGACAGGAGAAGCAACATGGAGGAAGTAAGAAGAGAGAAGAAAGATGGGAAACAAGAACCCGGAAAGGGTGGTAGGAGACATGTGCTGTGAGAAAAAGGAGAGGGGCAGGGCAGGAGACTGTACAATGAGAAAAGAGGGGCAGGCAACATGTGCAGTGATAAACTGTGCTGTGAGAAAAGGGGGGCAGGATATGTGTGCTGTGAGAAATGGGAAGCAGTATGCAGAATGCAAAGAAAATGGCGAAAAGAAAAAACAAAGGGCAAGCAAGGAGAAAGAGCTTGGCGGAGGTGGGGGTACAAAGGTGGCATGGAGCCCAGCGCTTTGAGCTCCATGCTCATAGCGCTCATCTCTCTTGCACAGAGAACAGACAGTTGGCCAGAGGGATGGTTTTATGACAGAACAGTGATGAGATGGGCAGCACAGGCCAGCCATGTGGGTGGATGGACAGAGGGGGCAAGGCTGGTTGTATTTCGATAGAGAGCACCGGTGAATTGGACACAGAACACACCGTGGCATTCATGTGGCTGTGGCTGAGCAATATCAGGGTCTTGTGCTGGGTCTCAGACAGATGCTGGAACAACCTGGAAAGTTCCACCCAGGGACATGGGGAATCCCAGCTCAGGTATCTGGTTAGTAATAGAGACTGGCCATCTTATCGGCAAGGGGTCCAGAGATGGAGTGTGGGGGTGGTGATGGGAAAACTGTTTTGCACTGAGGGGCCATGGTCAGCTTCCACTGGTGGAAACTTCTGATCACAAATGGGAGTGAAGGTGGTGGGCGTGGATGGCACCCCATACAGATCTGAGGGGAGTTGCAGGTGGAGTGAGCAGTGTGACAAAGCACCCAAGAGGCATGGCTAGACAGAGCAAGGGACCCCTGACTCATTCTCAACTTTCCTGGTCCTAAGCTGGAATGATGAGATGACATTGTGGAAGTGGCCTATGTGACACTTTACATTTAACTGGTCCTCAATAATGACTTTCTTTGCTGTCCCTTCCCTTGGCATGATCTGTGGTGCTGATTTGTACAGGCTCACAAAGGCCTCTTCTGACTGCACTTCCGTTGCTCTCTCCTCTTACTGGAACACCCAGTGACTCCCTTTTACCTAGAGACACTGTGGGATTTCCAGTCTTTCATGTCCATTTCCATGGACCCTGCCAACTCCTACCTCCAGACTTGTGACTCTTAATCTGGTACCCATTTATCTCACACACTGGAAGGATGTAGATAACTTGGTTTTTCTTTAATTCCTGGTTTATTTTTATGGTGCCTCTGTGTTATTTTTAGTAACTAGTAAAAACCAAAACCAACACTTTTAAAAAATTTTAATTTATTTTTATTGGAAAGACAGATCTACAGAGAGAAGGAGAGACAAAGATCTTCCATATGCTGATTCACTCCCCAAATGGCCTAAATGGCCAGAGTTGAGCTGATCTGAAGCCAGGAGCTTCTTCTGGCCTCCCATGCAGGTGCAAGGGCCCAAGGCTTTGGGCCATCCTCTATTGCTTTCCCAAACCATAAGCAGGAAACTGGATGGGAAATCGAGCAGCTGGGACATGAACTCATGCCGGTGTGGGATCTTGGTACTTGAGGGTGGAAGATTGGCCAGTTAAGCCAACATAATTGCCCCAAACCCATACTTTTTACTTAAAAAATTATGCACACACATACACAGTCATTTGTCCACAACAAATTTGGGAGCCTGGGTTTTAGAATTTTGGTCCTTCCAGGTAGCTACCAGTAAGTGCTGTCCCTTGGGGGCCTTTCTCAAAACTAGTGCATACCTCTGCCCAGTCCACGGATATTTGATGAGCCTGAGGGTTTCTAAGTAGACCCTTAACATTCCCCAAGGATGTAGCCTTTATTGAGGCTGGGCCCCTCTTGCCTATTCCAAGGGAATTAGATGGTGAAGATACCCCTGGTGACTTCAAGAGACAGGCAGCAATGGAGCCTATCACAGCTGCTGCCTCACACCTGATTCGACCTTGGTTTTTTGCCTCAGTACTTCATTCCCAGTTCCCTGCAAGCTCAGTGGGACATGCGAACCTTGTTGGCTTGGCTCTTGAGAGCTGTACATAGTCTAGAACCATCGGGCACTGTTACCCAACCTTCCAACTTTCAGGCTGGCAGAGCAATTCAGAACTGAGTTTCACCACCTAAGAGAGAAATGCATGAAATGCCACAGCAACAGGGAGCCAGGGAGTCAGCTCAGATCTTCCACATCAGTGTCACAGATTTGTACCATGTGACCCAGCATCTGCTGCCTCCCAGGGTGTGCACTGCCTGGGAGTTGCAGTAAGCAGTGGAGCCAGGACTTAAACCCAGCTACTCCATTGTGAGGAGCCAATGTCTAAACCTCAAAGCCAAACACCTGCTCCCAAATGAAGCATCTTCATGTTCACCAGACTCCATGGCCTTGCTCTCCGAGAGGCTGTCAGCATCTGTTTGCCAAGTTGGCTGCCCTTCGAATATGATTCTCCCATGCATTTTAGTGCCCTGAATTCCTGATCTACAGAGTCAGGATGGGGAGCAAGTCAGAGGACAGCCAAGTACTTATCGCTTCTCTCCCCCAAAATACGCAGAGAAAAGAGTATTCTATTTCTTCAATGTTATCCATTTCTCCACTCAGCTGGGATAGTTAGTGCTAATCTTGTCCCACACTGGAATCTGAGCAAATGTTCTAGAACATTCTGAGCAGATCCCTGAGTCTTTTCATTTATAAAAGAAGGATAAAAATCACCTCTCAAAGCTGTTGTGAGGACCAGAAGGACCAAGTGGAGTAATTGAAGCTTGTACCCAGCACGGTTCCTGGCTTGTGGTGGGTCCTCAAGGGCGAGGCATGGTTATGACCCTGCAATACCTAATTTCATGTGGGGTTGCAAGTTGAATCCCAGGGGTCATGGGTGGAGGGGCAAGTGAACCTCTCCAGGGTTAAAATGTGTCTGGTTTATTAATCTGCAATAAGATCGGTTTATCTTTATGAAGGGAACAGTGGGGTCCCATGGGTTTGCCTAGGCCCCTTTGCTTCTATAAACCCCCCTGCATGGTGGTGGGGAGGGAATGGAGAGGTGGCTGGGCCTCCAAGTGGGGTTGTGACAGAAGGGAGCCGGGCTAGTGACTGCACATTCTCATGGCTCTGAAGGCAGCAGGACCCAGAAGTCCAGACCATTGCAGAAATGCAGCAGGCCCAAGGGTACAGAGCATGCCTGACAATCCAAGTGTGTGACTGCTTGTGGGACCATGGGGCCTGACACTGTTGGTAGGACCTGAGCTTGCCGTTTGCTGTCCAGAGAGAAGGTGCTAACTGAAAATGCTCCTGAGAGAAATAACAGCTCAGACATCTTGCATATGACTAACTCAGGCAGGAGTGACCTTGGGAGCCGCCTGGGACACCAGGAAGGATTCTAGAACCTTCCTGGAAAGGGCATGGTGCTGGAAGAGTGTGTTCAGAAAAGGAAAGCCTGGGGCTGAGCAGAGCCAAGCCTTGCTTCCTTCCCATGTTGCCTCTCCAGTTGCCGGTTCTGCAGTGTGCGGGTGCACCAAGAGGGCCTACATTTTGAGAACGAGCCATAAGCTGCTGCTATGTTAAAAAAAAATCAGCATAATTTGCTGAAATCGTATGGGAAAATATGGAGAAACTGTAAATGCAACACGAAGTGGTATCTACTGACCAAGAAATGATGTAGTGGATCCAGATCCCATCAGAAATAGAATGATGTGAAAAAATTCCTTGCTTTCTAATTTCAGAGAAAATGGTTCTGTGTAATGAAAGAACTGCCAAGTTAAAGTGTAGCTTTTTGTTCTCTTCCTTCTGCAATAGGGTTACATGATGGAAAACCGGATCGCGGGTCTGAAGTGCGACACAGATGTGTTGGTGACTTTTGAAGGTGACAATGTCGTTATGCTTCAGGTACAGTTTTTATTCCTTTCACATTCGTAACTTTGAAGAGTTATGCATAAAGCTGACATGTTCTGTTTTATCTCAATCTGGTATCTTCATTTAATTGATGAGTGCTTTTCTGTTAGACCCTTAGGATTTGCAGTAGCTGAATGGAGGATTGCATTATTTATCTTTTAGGTGATCTTTGGCATTGAATTATATCTTTTTTTGGTTTCAGGAAGTCATGGGTACAGTTTCAGTCGAACTCTTCTGCTAGGAAAGCCATGCCATAAGAGAATAGAAATCCCAAAAGATCAACAAACAAAAGACATAAAAAGCTAATTTACAAAAGGAGGGCAACTAGTCAACCTCACTAAGTGATCAAAGAAATGCATATTAGGACATACTGCCAGGCAGTTCTTGGTCACATTTGAATGCATGTTGAATTCCCATTGTTGCTCAGGGTGCAAGGGGTCCTCTTGCATATTGTTATTGAACTATATATAATTCTACTTCTGGGACTCTAGCCTAAGATAGTAATCCCAAACACCGAAAAACTTAAAGGCAAAAATGTTTTTGGTTAGTCCATTATTTATTATAGCAATCATATTGGAATCTAAATTTTTGGCAATAAGAAAATGATTGTGTAAATTATGTTCAGAGCCCTCAATGGGGAATTATATAGCTTTTATAATCATACTTGAAAAGAGTTCTGTATGTCACAAAAATTAAAAACTTATGGTAAGTAGAAATGCTACAGAAGTATATATAAATTATCAGACTGTAGCATTTTACAATTTATTTATTTCTATTTTTAATTTATTTGAAAGGCAGAAGCAGAGAGAATCTTCCATCTGTTGTTTGACTCCTCAAACACCCACAGGAGCTGGGGCTAGAGCAAGCTGGAGCCAGAGTCCAGGAACTCCGTTTGGGACTCCCAGGTGTCCCAGCACTCGGGCCAACTTCTGCTGCTTTCCCTAGCACATGGGTAGGGAGCTGGATCAATGTGAGGGCCAGGCCTCCTATAAAATGATTTAGTTACTGTGCTGAATGCATGTCCCACAATGTTGTATTTATTTTATTATTTTTAAAAAGATTTATTTTATTTTCATGGGAAAGTCAGATTTACAGAGAGGAGGAAGGAGAGACAGAAAGATCTTCCGTCCACTGATTCACTGCCTAAGTAGTCACAATGGCTGGAGCTGATCTGATCTGAAACCAGGAGCCAGGAGCTTCTTCTGGGTCTCCCACACAGGTGCTGGACTCGGGCCTAGGGCCATCCTTGACTGCTTTCCCAGGCCACAAGCAGGAAGCTGGATGGAAAGTGAGGCTGCTGGGATACGAACCAGCACCCATATGGGATCCTGGTGCATGTAGGGCTACCACGCAGGACCCTGTTGTGTTATTAAAAAAAAAAAAAGTGCAGGGGGAACCTCCAGCCGACACACTTAGATAATCTGTCCTTCTTGGAATTTCCCTCTTGACAATTCAACCTAGACAGGAGTCAACCAACAAGCATCGGGAGACTCTGGTAGGGGTGGACACGTGGATAAATGGAACAGCATAGAGAACCCAGAAACTAGCCTCTGCAAGTGTGTCTTAATGATGTTTGGAAACATTTCTAAAAGCAATTCCATTTTGCTGGAGTCATTGGGTTCTCAAAGTCATAAAATGAACGCTGACCAGGGTCTCTCACATTCTAAAAGCCTGAATGTAGATTATTGCCTTAAATATAAAACTTTTAAGAGAAAGAAAACTTATCAGAATATATTTGAGACCTTGAGTTAAGGAGCAGGTTCCTGATAGCAAAAGCACAATTCTTAAGAGGAAAAACTAATAAATTGGATTTCACAAAAATAAAAGATTTGTGTATGTGTGTGTGAAAGACCCTGTGAATGGGATTGAAAAGATGAAATATGAACAGGAAGAATTCATTTGCAAGTAACATTTCTGACAAGAGACTTGGGTCTAAAACATATTTTAAAACTCCTTGAAATCAGTAGAAATTGGGCAGGAAACACGAGCAGGCATTTTGTGGGAGAGGCCAGGTCAGTGGCCACTAAGCATGTGGAGGATGTACAGAGGTTACTGGCCGTTCTTGAAATGTGGCTCTCAGCGGCTAAACTATGTGTATCAGCCACAGACCGTGCTGGCAAGGAAGCACACAGACTGGATTCCTGATATTTCACAATGTGACAGCCACTCCAGGGGAAAAAAATGCAACTGTTTCCTTGAAGACTAACCACGTGCTTGTTGAATAACCCAGCAATTACACCCTGGGGCATTTGCTCCTAGATATGTGAAAACTTAGCACTGAGTCTTTATGGCTGTTTTATTCAAAACAGCAAGCATGTGGAAGCAACCCAATCTTTCTTTGGCCAGTGAATACTGAAAAAAAAAAACCATGATACGTTGATTTCATGGGATATTTTTAAAAAGTAAGGAATCAGTGAGACAGGTTGAGGTGTCGCTTGGGATGTTCACAAGCCAACCTGGAGTGCCTGGGTTTGCATCGCACTCTCTCTGCTGTTGCACGCCCCAGAACGCAGCAGGTGGTGGCCTCAAAACTTGGGTTCCTGTCCCCCAGGTGGGATTCCCAGAAGTTGTCCCTGGCCCCTGGCTTTGATCTGGTCCAGCGCAGCCTTCATTGATGTCAGCATTTAAGTTGTAAACCAGGAAAAGGATGACCTCTGTCATTTTCCAGCTGTCACTTTAGCTTTCAGATAAATTCATTTTTAAAAGAAAACTAAGAAATTATTGATTCTTAAAATGGTTTAGATACCAAATTTAAGAAACCGATCTTAATAGGTTAGATACTATAGGATGCCGCTTACATGATGTTCTTGAAATGATAAAATATGGAAATGGAGGTCAGATCCACGTTGCCAGCAATGTGGGAGGCAGGGATGGGGAGGGCAGCGACTGTGGTTCCAGATAGCTGGTAGGAGGATCCTTGTAAAGGGCCAGTTCTGCATCCTCGCTGTAGAGGTGGGATCACAGAACCTACACATGCGACACTGCAGAGAGCTGCATCCTCTCGCTGGCATGCGTGTGCACGCTCTCTGTCTCTCACATACACGCACACACACACATGCATGACCACTTGAAAAAGTAGCAAAACCTGAAAAGCTCTTTGGCTCACAACAAGACCATTTTTCCTGGTTAGGATGTTTTACTATAAGGATATAGGGTGAAGAACTCATGGGATTCCTTTGGATGATTGTGAATTAGCTGTATTTTTACCAATGTGTGTCAACATTTAAAAAAAAATGGTTAGAGGAATAAAACCAACAGAATCCTATGCATGTGTGCATTTGGAAAGAAATACTGTAGATTATCAGCATCCATATTGGGAGGGTTCTAGGTGACTGAAAAAGAACACTCCGTGTGTGTGTGTGTGTGTGTGTGTGTGTGTGTGTGTGTGTGTGTGTCTTATAGGTGTTTTAGTGAAGATGGTTGCTTCTTATGGTGGAAGAACCTTTCGTCAATACAGGAATTGAGACATTTTGAGGACACTGATCAGACCTCTAATAAGGTCATTGGAATGTCAAAGCACCACATGCTACCCAGTGGCAAGTCTCCGTCATTTTCTGAGCTTTTAGAGCCATCTCTGGTAGAGCACTAGGGAGAATTTTTGAAGAATCACTGCGGACTTGCGCTAAGTGACATGGTCTTTCTGCATTCTCCAAGAATGCCTTCTAAACAGCCCTGGTTGCCTGACACCATGGAGCATACGAGAGCCCTACATACTATACTATATATTTTTTCTATACAAGTGTATCTTTGAGAAAGATTCATTTATAAATCAGACACGGTGAGAGATTAAAAGCAGTAACTGATAATAGAAGAGTTATATCATTGTACGGTGATAAAAATTTTGTGGATGTAGTCTCTCTCTCCAAGAATCAAGACAGATATCAATATTTTCAGACTGAGGTTGAATAACTGAAATGATAGATAAAATAAATTCCCTCTTCTTTGGTCTACTTCTTGTCTCAAATGTTGTAATAAGATTGTCAGGAGGATTCAGTAATTGAGGCATTGTGCCAAGTGCATTTTGCATCATTGCACCTTCTCCCTCTGAGTGGGTGACTCAAGTTGGTGAGGTTTTTCAACAACTGCTCCTTTGGGAAATATATTATACCTTCAGCCTGTATTTCTTCACTGCTTGCCCGTGAGTTTGTGACGCCATCTTTGACTGTAGCTGTCGTGAGTGTTATGGAGGGTCCAACTCTAAGAACTGAAGTGGAAGCCTGAGGAGAAACAGGGATTCTGCTATCTGGTGTGGAAGTGGGAATGAGACAGAGGAAGAGCCTAGGTCTTCCTGTGGCATTCGTGTGCAGGGATGCTGGGCTGTCAGGGGGCTTGAGGCTCTACTCTGGAGGGCGTTGTCGCCATAGAGAAGTGTAGTCCCCTCTTGCTTGGTCACTGGAAATGGCAGCAGGAAAGGGACTCAGATAGAGACAGACCTGTCCACCAAGACCTGCCTAGCACCAGGACAGTGGCTTCCCCAAAATAGCACCTACCATAGCCTCCCAATACCTGTTGCGGGAAGAGGGATTTCCAGCCTGCTGAGGCATGGCATGGCCTCTAGGAGTGAGAGACTGAGATTCAAGGTGTGTTGGATTCATGCTGGGGAGGAGGGGCCTGCTTGCTTGCCCTGGGTGGACATACTCTGGCAGGGACCTTTGCTCAGTACGTTCAGGCTGCCTGGCACCCAGGAGGGTGCCCACTCAATGCCAGGCAAGGTGAGGCTGTGCTGGCATCAGTCCTTGGGCCTTTCCCTACGTGCACTGGATTCTGCCTGTGTTGGGAAGGCCACCTTTCTCACCACTGGCTCCTGCTTTGGTGCCCTGTTGGCGATGGTTCAGAGGGCCTCACAGTGTACCAGTGTTTCCCTGAAGGAGAATCTCCCACTGTCCCAAACAGGCAGAGGTCCCATCCCGGGACTGAGGCATTCTGCAGTTTCTGCAGGCTTCCCCTGCTTTCCCTGAAGCAATATGGGAGGGTTTTGACCCTTTCATTATGTC